AAAAAACACAAAGATAGCACAAGTCCATTGTCACGTTTTTGACTTCTTGTTTGGAATTTATGAGGGCTCTTTTCGATTTTATAAATGATGACAGTATATGTTTGCATGGATATTTCGTGACCGATCGACTTGATTCTGTTTTAAATTTTAATATTTTTTTATCAGTAATGGTTTGAATTCATTAGAAAAAACAATTTTGTTGTTTACTTGCCTTCGTCATTTGCATTTAGTCTTATTAAACAAAATATAAGTATGTTTGTGAGTCGGGTTCGCCTTGTTAGTCTCGTTAAGCTTGATAAATATATACAATTTTTTAAATTTTTTAACATAATTCTTCAGCCAAAACTCAATATCTACTAGTTAAAAAAGCCAAATCTAAACTCGTTTAGTGGGTGATTGATAAGCGATCAAAACTAGTTCTGATCGATCAGAATTTGACTCACCCACTTTAACTCAAAATATAACTCAATTTCATTATCCTCAATATTACCAATATAATAAAATAATATCAATAATCTCTCTTCTAAATCATATCAACTTTAATTTATTATTCAACTACTCACATATTTATTTATTTATTTTTTGTACAAACTACTTACATATTTTTTACTACATCACTTTTATAATTTCTATTACTTTTATATCACAACAACTTTAACAATGATATTTTAAATATTATTTAATTTCAATCTCTCTCATCCCATTCAATAAATTTTATTCAAAATAACTCAATTTAACTTATCCAATTTTGATCAATTTTTACTAATTTTGACTCTTTACCAATCATCACTTATGGACTAGCTCATGTCATCATTTTTTTCTACTCAAAATTTGCAGCAAACAAAAGCATATATAATGAAGACAACAAATCAACTGCGCGTTGAAATTTATCTTATCTTTTACTTTACTGCTCGACTTGACGTCCAAAATCCGAAAGCTCTTTTTCTTTCTTTCTTTCTTTTTGTCTTTTCCTATTTGAGATTATTTTTCAGGAAAAAACATTATTACTTAATCTAAGCACATTTAATGATCTAATTAATAATGAGCTATTTTGGAGCTGTTAGTTTTGGTTAGTGGATCTACCAGATGAAGATCGATCCAACTGGAATCAGATCAATGTGAAAGCTCACTGTACATTTGTTAGCTGTTATTAATTGATTACTCTTTAACTGGTAAAAAAATTAATAAAATTCATTAAGTACCAACTCACGAAAAAGTGAAAGAGAAGAGCAAATCAAATAAATTTCGATTGTAATTTCGAGCCACCTACTAATAAGGCGTAATGGTGCAATTGAATATAAAAGAAATAAAAAATTGTTTTTTTATCTTATTTAGAAAAAGTGAAATGAAAAGGCAGATTATTATTTAGAAAAAAATGTAATAAATTTGAGAAGTGTTATGAAAATATAATAATTATATTTTTTGTGATATAAAAATAATAAATAATAATTAACAAGATTGATATTTAAAATTATATAAGTAGATAAAAATATTTTTATATAACTATTTAATAATGACCACCTTTTGTTTTTGAATTGTGTTATTGAGATTAATGAGAAAAAATAAAATGAAACGAATAGTACTTTCAGATGATTTTTTCTAATGAATAAAACTTATTAGAACAAACAAAACAAAAACAGAAACCATTTTTCCTTTCCATTGTAATTTCCCAAACGAAATCAGAGAGACCAAAGTAGACGAAACAAAATTGGTTAATAAAAGAACTAATTAAGCTCATTGTACACTAATATATACAATTAAAAAAAAAAAGATTCCCGATCAAATTCCCCAAAAAGCCCCTAGCTACTCGGGTATCGAGTTCAACCGCGCGTGAGTTTTCCCCCTCCGCCCGACGCCGCCGCCGCTCCTCCGACTCACAGATCTAACTCTCCCAACATCCCCGCCGTCTTCCGCCGCCTTCCGCGGCCGCCGACCCAACCCTCCGTCCCCCGGAAACACCAGCATATTCCGTCGGCATCCGCACTTCTCCCCGCCGCAGCCGGCGCTCCTCGTCAGTGCCGAGCTCGCCTTCACGGCCAATGCCGCCATCTCCTCCGCCCGGAGGCGGCACTTCAGCCGGCTGAGCGGCAGCGCAAAGTAGATTTGCCCAGGCTGGAGCTCCTCGTCGTCGCTGACCGCCGACACGAAGTCTCCGAGGTCCATCTCGTCGGAATTGCATATGAAGTACGCCGGATTTTTCTGCAGCACATAGGAAACTTTAACGGGGTAAGGGTATTCTTGTAATCTCCCGTCGTCCATTATCAATTTGGCCGTGGCTACGGAGGTTGACTCGCACGAGCTGCAAATGCCCATTGTTTTGTTATGTTTTACTTTTTTATTTTTTTTGGGGGGCACTTTTTTTATGGTGAACGAGGAAATGTAGTGTATGTGAAGGTGTATTTATATGTGTGCTTGAGATGCGAATTGAACGGGGAGGACACGTCAGCAGAAGTTAAAAGAAATGAAAATAGTGAAAAAGGGATTATAGTGGGAACGGCTGCCAGCCTGTAAACTGGTGGGTGACAGGTTGTAAACTCTCTGTGGTGGTGGTGTTAAATACTAGCCTCACCTATGTTTTTTCGGTGAAACTACGGACTCAGGGACGGGCGATTTTTTTTTTTCCCCACCTTTTTTTCTTTAAAAGAAAAAAGAAAATGTTGCCCCTTTTATTTGGATCTTTTTCCTATTGTTCCAGTTTTGGCAATTCATGATAATTATTGCAATCGTGCTTTTTCTTTTTGCCTAAATTACATATTGAAATTTAATTTTTTGCTTCATTTACAATTTAATCACAACTTTTCAATCTTGGTAATAATAGATATAAGCTTTTGATTTTTGCAAATTGAAATACACAATCAACAAAAACAAACTTAATGTTCTAGCTAGTTTTATGTGTCTGACTCCGTATACCACATGAAAATAGGAAGGAGGATATGCCAAAAATTGAAAAAAATAAAAGAATAATACACCCTTCTGACACAAAATATGGAGTTCTTAAAAACTCAATTTGTAACATTTCAAAAAATTTTAAATTCACAACCCATTCGTATATGTTAATCAAGAAGTAACACCAACATATAAAATACTATATATGGCGACCAAGAGAATTTTGTCCAACGCAATAAATTCTAAAATTCCAAATGTATTCCCATTCTTGTTTTTGCTTTATTTTTTTCATTTGTAACATGCCTCCACGTCAGATATGACGAGCCAGATACATAAGCATCTGACGTATATTTTAATGATTGCGTGCTTGGATTTGCGAAAATTGAAATATGTGTCTTTTAGAAAAATTAAGATTAAAACATAGAAAATATTTATTTATTTTTTTATTTTTTTTATTTTTCAAAACGATAGATATTATAACTCAGAATAATTACAGTCGAACGGGGTTACAAAACCATCGCCCAAATGCGATGGAATGGCGACGCACCAACAATGGTGTTCTAGACAAAACAACTAAACTAAGGAATTAAAGTCATGCTAACGGCAGAGGCCACTGCTCTGGGACCGTAGTGTGGCATTTAATCCCAACCGGCAAAAAGGTAAAGACCACTGATCCAAGATCCTAGCCTATACCTGATTAAAACAGAAAAGCAGTCTAAAGCCAAACAAGGCAACAAAATAGCAGAAACAAGGCAACAACAAAAAAACCAACTAATAATCTAGATTACAGGAGCTTTAAACTAAGGCAGAGTCAGACCAATCACTGAGGGCAGCTGATACAACATGAAGTTCACTTCTTCTGATGTTTTGAAAGACAATCTGGTTCCTGGATTTCCAAATATTCCAAAGGATGCATGCTGTTAGTTGAAGCCTTTCATTGACTGAGTGGGAGTTTTTGAAGGAGCATAACTTGGTCCACCAAGCCTTGATGTTCTGGTTAAGGTGTGTAACCCCATCCCAGCTGAGGGGGGAAAGTTTCCAGATAATTTGAGCTCTTGCACATTTGAAAAGGGCATGTTCTTGAGTTTCTACTTCTTCCCCGCAGATTTTGCAAATAGGATCTATGCCAATACCTTTAGAAACAAGGTTGCTGAGCACAGGATTTAGGTTTCCAATGCATCTCCAGATGAAATGTCTGATTTTTCCTTTGATTCTGAGACCCCAACTTTTCTTCCTCATCCTTAGTGTTCCTTCATGATCATAGCTCTTTTCAGCAATGTCCAACTTCCTCCATTTTTCTGTGGCAAGCTTTGAGTAGACAGAAGCAACTGACAGATTCTTTTTGCTATCATATTCCCAGATCAGTTCATCTTCTTTAGTAGGGTCAAGGTCTTTGAGGCTGAGGATAGCCTCACTTTCATCTTTAGAGAACAGCCTTAACACTACTTCTCTGTTCCAATGCCTTCCTGTGGAATCTATCAAGTCTGCTACCAATTTTTAGGAGTTGTCTGTTGCATTTCTTTGAGAGGGTCTGCAGCCAGGTATGTTTGGAATCCATGGATGGTTCCAGATATTGATTTTGGTACCTGTTCTAACCAGATATCTGAGGCCAGAGCTTAGAGTTTTCCCCACAGTGAGCCAGGAATTCCACATTTAAGAGCTGTTAAGTTTTTTGGAAACACTGAAAAAATCATCCTTGGGAAAGTATCTTGATCTTAGTATCCTGCTAACAAGGAGATCAGGCTGGGAGAGGATTCTCCAGATCTGCTTTGCAATCAGAGCTTGATTCATGAGGTTCAGGTCCTTGAATCCTAATCCTCCTTGTTCCTTTGACAGGGTAAGGAGGTTCCAGGATTGCCAATGTATGCTTTTTTTGTTGATGTCACCTTTATTCCACCAGAAGTGTGCAACGTGCTGGCTGATTTTGTGCGTTGTGGCCTTTGGCAATAAGAAACAAGACATTGTGTAAAGTCGTAGAGCAGCTAGGGTAGATTTCATCAGTACTTCTTTACCTGCAAAGGATAAGAAGCTGGATTTTCAATTAAAGATTCTGTTTTTCACTCTTGTTTCCACAAATGAGAAAGTTTCCAATTTCGATTTGCCAATCCCTAAGGGAAGCCCAAGGTATCTGGTGGATGAGTGAGCTTTTATCCCAAGGAGAGTGGTGCAAATTTGGTTTTTTAAGGGCTCAGGTGTATTTTTGCTGAAATGGATGGAGGATTTGGATAAATTCACTCTTTGGCCAGTTAAGCTTTTGTAGTTATTGAGGATGTTAATAAGTGTGAGAGCTTGGTTGTTGTCTGCTTCTGTGAAAATGATGGTGTCATCTGCAAAGAGCAGATGTGTGAGCACAAGGCCTCTTTTACAAATTTTTAGCCCTTTCAATTTCCCTCCCTATTTTCTGTTTTGATCAGGTGTGAAAGGATCTCTGAAATGAGTATGAATATATAAGGGGACAGTGGGTCCCCTTGTCTTATCCCTCTGGATGGAGTGGTATATCCTTTCACTGAGCCATTTATGTTAAAGGAAAAGGAAGTTGAAACAATACAGGCCATGATCCATTTCACAAATTCAGCAGGGAAACCAAGTTTGAACAGAGTGAATCTAATGTTATCCCATTCAACAACATCAAAGGCTTTAGTCATATCAAGTTTAATGGCCATGTAGTACTTTCTGCCTGATCTATGCCTATTCAAAAAATGCATGACCTCTTGAGCAATGACGATATTATCAAAGATTTGATTGCCAGAGACAAATGCAGATTGGTTTTCACAAATGCAGAGATGAAGGCAACTTTTGAGTCTTCTGACAATGATTTTGGAGATCACTTTATAAATGACACCACAAAGACTGATAGGCCTAAAGTGAGAGACTAGCTCTGGAGATTGAAGCTTAGGAATCAAGGTTATCAGTGTGTGGTTTAGACTTTTAAGCATTTTACCAGACTCAAAGAAGCTAATAACAGCAGCACAAATATCAGGACTAACATAGGACCACATATGCTGGAAGAAAAGGGAGGTCATGCCATCCATACCTGGAGCTTTACAAGGATTGATGTTGTATAGGGCTTCTTTAATTTCCTCCCCCTCAGGTTGAGCTGTTAAATCTCCTTTAAGTTCATCTGGTATAACCTAATTGATATCCTGAATTGTTGAGAAGTCAGCAGACAGGTTCTCAGAAGTGAACAACTTAGAGTAGAATTCCTCAATTTGCTCAGCTATTTCCTCCTGATTTGTACACAGTTCCATTCTCTGCTTTTAGTCTAGTAATTCTGTTCCTTTGTCTTCTTTGGATAGTCTGGGCATGGAAGTATTTTGTGTTTTTATCACCATGCTTGAGCCAATGTACCCTAGCCTTTTGTTCCCAAAATTGCTCCCCTTGCTTGTTGGCTTGGTCCAGTTCTAATTTGATTGCATCCCAAGCTTCCCAGTCAATCAGGTTACCAGATTCTCTCATGTCAGCCAGGGCCTTGTGAGCTTATCAATCTTCCTGTAATTTTCTGATTTGAAATTATTGCTCCACTTTAGGAGATCCACTCTGGAAGTCTTGATTTTCTCTTGCAGTCTAAACATGGGAGTTCCAGTTTGCTCTTTTGCCCAGGAGTTCTTAACCACTTCTGTGAAGCCTTGCTTGTGAATCCACCTTTTGTCGAAGAAAAACCTTTTCTTTTTAGCACAGGGATTAGAGGTGGTTGAGAGAGTGAGAAGTCCATGATTAGACGAGCTTCTGAAGGTGTTAGAGACTATGGCTTGTGGATATGTACTGATCCAATCCAAGGAGCAGAAAACATAGAAAATATTGAAATTCATTAATTCGGAATTTGCCTACTTTGAGAGGGCGATAATATTCAGTACGCATTTCCTGATACATAGACAAGTTATTGCAGAAATTATATGGTGCCCTATAGGGCACCATAAGCCATGCCACAATCTTATGTGGCATATGATGTGGCTATATTAACTATATCTCTCAATTCCAACATGGCATAATTAAATTGTGAAAGAAATAAATAAAAAATCTAACAGAATCTTACGTTCTCAAAAAATTGGAGGCTTTACGATCTGCTCCTACAAAACAGACGACCGAAGGGTTGTGCCAAGAAATATCTCGCTTTCGCGGCTTTCGGTTGAGCTTCACGATCCGCTCCTTCTATGTACACTGGCGGCAGTCTCCACCCAGTCCACTTGCCGGCGATCTATTCCAACAATACCGACTACCAGGGATAGGTATTGCTTACCAAGGAGTGTGGAATGAATGAGAGTTAGGGTTTGAGGTTACCTCACCTCCTTTATATAGAAGTGAACACTTACCTGAAATACCTAAAATGCCCCGGTCGGTTGACCTGTAAGGTCTATATTTCCCTAGTCGATTCGTCTCCCCTTACTGCTGAGTCATCACAAGATTTCTTCTTATCCTTTGGAGTATGTTACAAGTGTATTGAGTCGTTAGTGTACCTCACGTTTCGAGGTATGAGAAGTCGACACCGAGTACGGACGAGTCGACTCGGGGTCCTCTGGTTACTCGGAGGCTACGCTCTTGTTGACTCTTCAAGTAGAAGTCGATTATCAGGGAGTCGACTGAAGGAAGTCGACCTCGAAGAGTTGATTAATAGGAAGTCGACCTCTGGGAGTCGACTTTGTAGGAGACCTGCCGTCTCTTGTGACCATTTGATGAGAAGTCGACTTAATGGGAGTCGACTTAAGCATGCCAACAGACCTATGTCGTCATCTGAACAGTCTGGGCTATCCTTTGGTCGAGTATCGATCCTTCGGACCGATATATCTTTATATGGCTATATTAAACTATGACTAACCAAAAAAGCTCATTTTGAATTTAAAATTCTTTGCAAGTACTTTCACTCAGCCATCTTAAATCTATTTTGCAATATTGCATGCGACAATAAGTACTTTCATATACAATTACCCACATAGCAATTTACCTCCACTTGCATTGGTATGCTTAGTTAATAAATTTTAAATATGAAGCAATTACATGAAACACATCCATTATGCCACTTTATTCAAAATGACAGAATTATCTCTTTCCCTTGATTCCAAAGCACAATTAATTACAACTTTGATAATTAATTAATTTAAAACCCATAAATTACCAATTGGCAGTTGGAGTGAGAGATAGGATACGCTGGAGCATTGGACCACACGTAATGATGCAACCAACAAATTCAAGGCCTAGAAATAGGAGTAAAATTGCAAACCTAGTTAATTGTACTTGTTTGATATACCTAATAATGTGAACCAATTTATCCACTACAACATCACCCATTTAATTTAAAAATTATATTGAAGTTATATGATTTCCATTGAAGAAATAACACGCAACAAATTTTCTCTATTGATATAATGGGCATGCAACCATAACACTTTGGTGGCATGAACAAGACTAGCAAATAACTAAAAGGTGCATGCACCACCATAGTGTAAATAGGGTTTTTATATATGTAAATCGAGTTATATATTTGCAAATACATCTCAATCTGATTGGTGAAAATGTGAGCTTCATTCATTTGTATACTTAAATGAACTGAGTTGAAACAACTACTTGATTTTTTAATTTTTTTTTTATTTAATGAGTTGAACTGTGTTATTGTACAAACGTTATGAATAATTGGAGATTTTATGATTAATTCACTAAATAAAAAATAAAATTACATTTGGTGTCAAACAAATCAGATCGATCTCGATCGATTTCAATTTTTTTTTTTCAAACGAGAGAGTCGAATCAAGTTGAACTTGAAGCATCCGAACTCGAGTTCACATAACTATTCATATGTCAAATGAGCCGAGTCGTATTTACTTATTTATTTAATGAACACGAGCTCACATACGAGATTTTGGCTCGGCTAGTTGGATTTGAATTACACAACTAGTGTAAAATGTAGGTATCCAATCATCATGTATAATTTAAGGTGAGCAAAATTTGACTTACATCTTCATAATTCTTTTGTTATCATTATTATTATTTGAAATGTTACACAGATTTGGAAGCCCAATTTACAACTGGTCTGCAACTAGCAATGGCATTCATTTATCTTTTTGCCTTATGAGCAACACGGTACTTTGAAATTTGATATTGGACCTTTTGACTTTATCATAAGTTGAATCTCGTAATCCCGTGAAAAATCTGAATTTATAGCAAATTTTGGTACCGTTGAATGTGAGTCAACTGAAAAAAAAAAAAAGAAAATTGTACAAGACCATAACCTTATATTTTTAAAAAAAGAAAAACTGTTACCAAAATCAAATTGACTTTGCCAGCTGGATATTACTATTTGACTTTAGGACGTGCACTTATACTATTTTCCCGAATTTTAAAGAGGAGACGCAAACAATTGGTACTTTTGGGTAAATGAGAAGGGCAATCGTGGAGTTGCTGTAAACGTGGCAAGTTGGTGATACCTTTTCAAGCTGAGCTGGCAGACA